CAATCAATCTGATGATCCCGACCACAACAGCATCGCTATTATCAACATTGTACACGTTGTTTCTTGCATTATCAGCACTTATCGAAAGACTTATACCACCAATTTCAGACGATATTCTCTCAGTATTTAAATCGGAAATGGAAACGGGGTCGCTATCACAAATGACAGATGCATATTTGTCTTCTTTTTCTTGTTGAACTGAGTCTGATTCATTCAAAGACCCTACATTACCATCCTCAACAGAATTTCCATCAGGACCACAAGCGTCAATGTTAATCTCATTATCGTGTTGATCAGATTCCAGTTGTTTTGCCAAACCAGACTCGTTGAACTGACTCTTTTCACTTTGATCAGACAATGACCTTGTTTCACTCTTACCAGCTAAAACATTGCCCTCACCAGTTTTAGCTTCTCTCTGCAGCAGAACAAGAAGTGTTTCTATCCCACCGGATGTTATAAATACCTCTGCAAACATCGTAGCTCTTGCAGCATTTGGCTGTACAACCAATCTATATATAAGGTGTAGTACCCTCGCAACCTAAAATACGAAAAGGTTGAAAAGTATCAGAAAGCACGTATTTGTCAATTAAAGTGGTCCTTCCCATTTTTTCCTAACTACCAACGCAAGGAAACTGCAATCAGTTAGAATATTCTCTAGCAACAACATAGGAAACGTGTAACCTGTTCGAGTATTCCCTATTTCAATTGTCTAATTGTGATTACTGAAGAACACTAAGGAAAATTGTTACCTGATTTGGCTGTGGACTGTCAATTATGAAACCAAGTAATCGACGGAGGTCATCAGCAGCTAAAGAAGGAGATGCTGCTCCCATCAGAAGTTCAATAATAACCAGAAGTTCATCAATAAGAGCGTTAACTTCCCCCATTTGACGCGTATTCCCGTCAAGGGGAAAAGTGGTCACGGAATCCTGCTCAGTAATCATCCAATAGCATCTTCGACAGCCATCTAGAAGCAGCTGAATAGCATCGGCATTCCTCATAGCTTTTGCTTCAGTGAAAACCATATCCTGAAGAGATGACAATAGCTTCTTTTGGAGTCCATAATTGCACAAGCTCCATATTTTCAAATCTAATAGCAGTGTACGGAAGAGCTGCACTTTAAGAACATGATTGATCTTCTGAGATTGGCACAGAGAAACAATAGCAGCAACTAGTTCCTCTTCTCCTAGTCCATCATGCTTCCTATCAAGAGATGCAAGTGAGTGTAGAAGATAACTCAGAATTCTGGCCAGAATCTCGGGTCCCTGAGTACGACACAACTCTTCATTGTTCCCAGGATGTTGAATGGCAACTGAGATAATTCTAAATACAGGTGCAGCAAGAGTAACTGTGGACAAAGACAATGGATGATTCCCTGAACATGGCTCCAAGCTATCTTTATTCACGTTGCTAACAGTCAGAGGAAGCAGAGACATGGGTCCTCCATGAGCTAGGGCCCAGAAGGACTCCACTGGCTTCATTCTCGTGGCAACATGGACTTGTCCAAGGACCTCAGCTGGTCGCCTTAGCGTGCCTTAACAAAGAAAAGAATAAAAAGCAGATTAAAAAGACTTGTTCAAGCTACAGTAAAACGTTAAAATGACTATTTCCCGTCTCATAACTGGAAAAAGAAAGGACAAAGTTTGTACGATAACGGAGAAGAAGCAAAATGACGAAAGGAATTTATGAAGGGAAAAGAATATCATGGACAGAGAGAGCAAATCAAAGACAGAGATAACGAATCAGCCATAAGAATCTGATAAAATATACTAAAGCATATCAAAACCATTTAGGGAATAAACGTTATCAATTTTACAAACGAGCATTTTGATCTTAAACTTTATTAAAAGGGAGTATATATATATATAGGCACCTGCTGCTCCAGAAAGTGAAGCATCTGGGCAAAACCGCCCACTCAGCAGACAAGGGTGGTAAAGCAGGTGAGTATATCCTCCGATCTCTGCATCCAAAAGACTACTTTCATCTGCACTATTACGTACATATTCATTTGTAGCTAACCAAGGGAGGCCCGCCCCATTGCCAAAACAAGGCAAAAAATCCCCACCTCTAGAAGCCAAACGCGCCATTCTTTCAGGACCAATCGGTTCCTTAAATATATAAACTGGTCCAACCTCCGCAAACAGAGGACACTGTCGACGGCGACGTTGTAGGCCAGCCATAGTAGGAGGAGGATTTGTGCCAATGCAACAAAAAGAGAGGGGCTTGGATATACGAGGAAAATCAAAAGGACGGCTTTCATAGAGGGATCCATCAACATACAGCCGTAATTCACTCTCTGCTTTCCCCAAAAGTCCTTGCTTGCCGCTATGCTCGAGGCCAATAAAATACCAACATTGCGGCTTAAATGCATGGGTAAAATGCAGGGAAGACTTTCTTCCTTTCCCACTACCACTCTCAACCACCAGAAACTGAGCATGGAAATATGCTTCTATTCCCTGATTATCAGCGGACAAAAAGCTGAACAAACGTGGCATATGAGCAGTACCCTCACCAGCGAGTGCACTCGCAGCCGCTGCAGCTGACATTGCGGATGTTTTCCCTGACTTGGCTGCTGCGGCAGCCGCAATTGCAGCTGCGGCAGTTGCAGCATTTAATGTGTCAGCAAATGATTCAATATAGATCCATGTGGCAAACGCGTACCCATTTGTGAAGGGCCAACGACTTTCTCCGGGACCAAGTAAACCAGAGCTCTCACCATCAAATTCAAAAGTACAAGCAGGTCCCCTTGATTCCTTTCCACTCATTACCTTCTCCAAAGCAAGCATCAACGGACTTGACCATGCTGTTGTTAGCGTGGTTTTTATAACCGTAAGCCACATATGTAAATCATCGACACTAAGGGAGTGTCCAGCTAGATGTTGAATGCATAAAAGAAAAACAGCAGCGGCATTCCATTTCATATCAGCGTCCTTGGAAATAATCTCTTTCACTGATCGCAACAAAACCCCTAATAACCCTGCCGTCGAACACATTGCTCTGTTTCTCGTGCATGACCGCAAAATAACAAGCAATCCCCGAACCATGCGAGTCCTCGGGGACATAAAATGAAGGCTATCACCTAAACCAGGTAGCCAAGGGATAAGCTCACCAGAAACAATTGCAGCACGGGCATTTAACATGACACTAGGAGGGTTGCTATCTTCATCCTCTTCAAAGCTCTCAACTCCACCCATTGTGGCAATAAGCGAATCAACAACAAGGAACGCAATGCCCTCGGGGTCCTCTCCAGAGTCAAAACTCTCAATACCGCTAACAACATTCTTCAGTTTTTCTAAGCTTTCAGGCTTCCCCATGATGGCTGAATCCACTAGATGCAGTAGTTCTGGAGAAACATTTGAAGTAGTCGCCTTTGGCTTGGGTTTCTGCGGGGAATATCCAGATTCCTGATGGTGGGAAGAATCCAGGCTACTTGCAGGCATGGAATAATCTGCCTCTCTCTCTGGTCCGGGGCTAGAAAGTCTGTCACTTTGCACATCATCCATGGGCATCAAATCATACGCCTCCTGAGTCCCGGACAAGTGATAAGCAACCCCTTCGGTACCAGTACCAAACGAAGACCTCCCAACGTCAGAATTTGAAGTACTTACAGATTCCTTAACTTCACTCTGTGGCTCCTTTGCAGACTTCTCTTGATCTCCCAGAGAAACCTGTTCAAAATCATCATCCTTGAAGTCTCTACCAACAGCTGCATCATCCTCAGCAGTAAAACCAGAATCCCCTGTATCAAATGACTCTATCCTATTGGGACTAAGTAAATCAGGATGAGATTCTGCGGGATTTCTCTCATCATCTTCTTCCATTGTGTTTTCAACTTAAAGGAGAGTGTACAGTCATACACAGCACAGCGTTTTCTCACCTGCCACATCAAGTTTTTAAGTTGTAAGACAAATACAGTGACGTTGATGGAGATGTGAACACAGAGAGTACAGATCAATGCAAACACTATGACTAAACCAAAGAATCGATATAAGATAATACTCACTTGGATCTACTAACAAAGCAAACACTAGAGCAGAGATGGAACATGTACAGATCTTATCGATTTCGAAAATAAATATAAATACATTATGCGAATCGGAAGAGAATACGTACGGATCGGAGCGGAGAAATGTTTCAGATAGGGAAGCGAATCGGAAGCGACTGAGATGTGAAGTCCAGCGAATCTGGACGGGATCCTTTAATCCTCAGGCGGAGTAACTGTGGAATGTGAAAGATTCAGCAGACGATGAGAGTAGAGAGAGAGAGAGGGGAGACGATCGGAGAAGGGAGGCGACTTGGGCGCGCGGGAGAGAGAGAAAGGGAGGAGAGAGAGGTTGTGTCTGATTCAGGATTTTAGCAAACTTTAGTTTTCACACATTAAAAGTCAATTAACATTAAAGAATTTGATTTACATATTTCAGTCACGTATTTATTTCGCTAAGCAGTCCAATCATATGTTTAATAAATGAATACACTGTGGGCTGTATAGTAATTTATGGGCTTTACTTCACCTAGGCCCAATAACCACCTCTCGTTCTTTTCTTTTCTTTTTTTTGCTACTGACCTTAATCACCTCATGATCAAGAAAAATTTACAACCAAGAAGAACAGAGAGTAGTATGTATGATTTTTCCTATTGTTGTAATCATTAAAGTCTTCAATTCCATCGTTTGTGAAGTCAGTAGTTATGATCGAAGACTAAAACAGTAAAACTATTACAGTGGCATGTTTTCTTTTTGACATCAGTGGCATGATTCATTTCATTAGTAGCACGTTACTATGACATTCATATCTACAATACTGTTAAATTTTCAAAAAGCTAACAAATAGTTTTGATGAATATTATATTTTTTTTTTTGGTCTAAGTGTTAAAAATGGAGTGAAATATAACTTTAGATTATTCTTCTCTAATGGATTGAGATTTGAATATCTAGTACATCAAATGTGATCCACTAAGAGAAGTCATCTTATTATAAAGAAAAATAAATAGTATGGAAAGTACTAAGACGATGATGTAGTAGGTTTCTTGATGGGTACAGCATAGAGAGGTTTGGCTTTATGTAAAGTAAGACCGAAGACTTCACTCATGTCCATGTTTCCTGGGACGACACCGTCTTGAAGTTTCCAGTCAAAGGAATAGAGAAGAGAGGCAAGCACCATAGGCGTTGTCTTCAATGACATTGAGATTCCCGGACACATCCTTCTTCCTGATCCAAACGGTATCAGCTCGAAATCTTTGCCTTTTACATCGATTTCTCGTAGCAAGAACCTCTCTGGCTCGAACTTCATTGGATTCTCCCACACGCTTGAGTCTCGTCCCATCGCCCATAGGTTCACGAAAACCTAATATTCAAACATAGAGAAGGAGTGCTAGTGATAAGTTATTACCTGAACAAATTCAAACTAAAAGTCTTATTTATCATATCGGTTCCACATTTTTTGTAAACCAAACAACTCAAGTGCACCAAATATTATTTAGATTAATATTTACTAAGTTGAGTTTTTATTTATGATAATTAAGTATTAGTATACAGTTCTTTCATATCTTTTTGTACATGTGAAACTGGACTAAAACCTAAGTAATCAATTTTATTTGTGTTCAAACCGAACAGAACCAAATGAACTTCGGTTATTCTCTCTTGCAAATAGACATCATGAACCGAAGAATTCAAACTGAACCAAACCAATAAACCCGTATACCCAACCATAAAGGTATGACTTAGTTAACGTGCATCCCAAGTTAGTTAAAGGTGATCAGAACAAGTATGAAGCAAACCTGTGTGTTCTTTGGAACGAGAAAACCGAAGATTTGGACATCAGATTTTCGAGGGATCAAAGGAGCTGGAGGATGCAAACGAAGAGTCTCTTTCACAATTGCTAGCAAGTAAGGCAGCTTCGGGATATCAGATTCTTGAACCACACCATTGTCACCTACAACTTGTCGTATCTCACTCTGAGCTCTGACCATCTTCTCTGGATTACGGAGTAACTCCGACATTGCCCACTCCATTGTACTAGAGTTTGTATCCGTGCCCGCAACAAACACGTCCTATCACAGAAAGAAGTCAGTGTGATAAACAGCCCAGTTACAACTTTTATCACTTTGTTTTGCTATTGGTGTTTTGCAAGACTTACGAGAAACATGTGTTTCATATCATTCATGGTGAACTCTTCTTCGTTTTGCTCTGTAATATCGAGAAGGGCATCTAACATATCGATACTTGAGGCCTCTGTTTGAGACAATCTTTTGGCCACACGATCGTCAATAAATTTTTGGAAAACTCTCTATGCAGAGTGTCGCCTCTTTTCGGCTACCTTGTAAGTCAAGAAACCTCAGAAACCGGAAAACGTCTCCAGCGTTGGGTTTCCCATAGATTTCCAAAAGGTGAAACACCGTTTTGTGGAACTCGAAAGACGACGAGATAGAGTTATAAGTGGCCAAATCAACGGAAAACAAAGCATTTGAGATTATATTGAAAGCTGTGACGAAGGAAGCACGAGCCATGTCAATAGCCTCTCCTCTCTCGCAAAATTCGTGTGCTAAGCTCACAAGTTCCTCCACCTTTCTCGTCCTTATAGACTGAATCCCGTCTAGGTTTTGCGGCGATAACAAATTTTGCACTATTATCTTCTTAAAAAACCTGAAGATGCATACAAACATAACTTCATCAAAGTCGTGACTATTGTATCATATGTGTAGTAATCAAAACAAATAATATGTATATACTAGTTTTGGACTTTGTTTTCTACAGAAATTTGCATCTTTATAAATCGGTCTATACTTTCAGGTTAAATTTTTGATTTCTCACATATATATAATTACAAAAATCATTTCAAGGAGGTTAAATTTTGGCCTAGTTTTTGTGGTTTATACAAGTGATTTTAATCACAGTTTTTTTTAAGACCTAACATTAATAGATAGAGTTATTAGTTTATTTATAGATTGGGTTATTAGTTTGATCAACATAAACAAAGATAGAGTTATATCTCACCTCCAACGAGCCGACGCAGGAATCCAGACAACGGAATGTTTATGGTGATCAAAGGCTCGAACCGGATCGTTAAAGGTTCGAGCAGACAAGACATGGTCGTGTGTTTTAAGTGCCTCTTTGGCTGCTTCTGGTGAAGATATAACCACTGCGGTTAACCTTCCAAACTTTAAACTCATTATAGGTCCATACGTTTTCGAAAAGACAGCAAGTGATTGGTGAGGATTGAAGCCGAGTTGGAATATGTTTCCGACCAATGGCAGTCCCGGAGGACCCGGCGGAAGTGAGCCTTGGCCGTTGCTGCCGTAGCTCCGAGTTCTCGCGGTGGAGAAAAAGAAGAAAGTTACAAGAAAAAAGAGGACTGTACCCACCACGGCCGGTATTATTGAGAGTTCCATTTGCATGGCCTGTTAATGGATTGGAGAATGGCTTATATTATAACTCCATCATCATTTTTAAAGAGATATTATCTAATTTGGAGAAGCAAGTTAGCAAACTGTTCACGATGTTATTAGTTTGGTGATTTCTATTATTGATTATAACACCTAGAGACTATAAACAAACTAGTGGATATAGACTTTTGTTTCTTGTCATGCAGATTTACGGAAAGTTTGAAGCTTATCTTCTTACCCAATTTCTGGCACACCTAGAAAATATATGGTTCAAAAAAATTTTAAATGTTTAAACGAAGAGATATGCATGTATTGTATTCATTTAGCATAATGTTGACATCATCCGAATTAAAATCTGGTAAAACACTATATTGTTGAGAGGACACGATAAAAGTTTCTATTAGATGATAAGTATTATCCATTTGTATAGTTAGAATATGCTATGTATATTCTCTGCATATTCTTACTCCGGTTGTAGAACCTCCCCCCTTGGAGGCGCCAACTCAATCACCTCGAAACAGCCCAAGCCCAATATCTCGGAAATACCACAGCATATGGGCCACTTTTACAGGCTACATAGGTAGGAAACTGTTTATGTGGGAAATCATAATGCTGGGCCAAACCTGGCTCTGATACCATATTAGGCTAGATGGGCTTCCAACTTAAAACCAATTGGTGATTAGTGGATTGGCTCCAACCCTTTATATAGTAGTAGATTAATTATTATATATCCGATGTACGCTCAGACATCTCTAGGTCTGAAGCGTGGACAATGTGGGAATAACATCCACAGAGGGTCCAACATCGGTATAGTAGTAGTTGTAGTAAATTAGGTCAAAGGATCTTATCGCTCTGATACCATGTTAGATTCGGGTTTATTATGGGCTTCCAACTTATCACCAATTGGTGATACTCAATATATACTACAGTGAGCTGAGAGATCTCAGGGAAGTTCCTAACAAATAGGAGAATATACAGAGAATATACATAGCATATTCTAACTATACAAATGGATAATACTTATCATCTAATGAATATGCAGAGAATATACATAGCATATTCTAACTATACAAATGGATAATACTTATCATCTAATAGTTTCTACGAAGAAAACTATGAGATTCTGAAACTATATATTGACACATGGAATACCAAGACATCAGCCTCTGCAAAATTGCGTGAAGTGATGACACCAGTCACTATAGGTTTCAGTTTTTCCTTTATGATCCCAATACATGTATTCCTATTGTTGTTTTTGTGAGAGAGTATTAAAATGTGAAATAAAGAATGTCTATGAATAGTTCCCCCCCCCCCCCCCCCAAAAAAAAAAAANTCCCCCCCCCCCCCCAGAAAAAAAAAATGGAAGTCGAATGTCTATGAATTTATGCTATTGTGGTTTTCTTGTGAAATTGAAGTTCTATTGATCCATCTCCGGGATTGGTTGAAGTGCCCTAAATCTATTGATCACCTTTAAATCTATTGATAACCACACGTATCAAATTAATTACGATTTGGCAGCTTAACCATGTGTTTTGGCGTACGTTGCTCTCCTTATATATATCTTCACCGTCCGATCTTCCGATTATTTTCTAACGCTGATCAAACGAACTGAACTAATTTTATTTAACGTAAATTAATATTTTAATCTTTGACTAATTTTAATTAATTGTATATCATTTACTTCAAAATAAAGTGATTGTTTCATTAATTGTATAGAAACACACATTTACAAAGTATTAGATTTTTTTTCCATAAATTACATCAATATTATTGCATTTCAATTTTATTAAATCTATTATTGCATGCAGTGTCCAAAAATAACAGTTAAAAAATTAATTAATAAAATCTCTGATCATATTAAGAAGAGCAACGGCTCGCCGCGGATCAACGAGCTCGATCCCATGGAAACCAGCATCGTCAAACTTCGCTTCAACCCTAACGCCAGCTGTAACAAGCATATTCACAAAGTCTTGTTGATGATCAACCAACGTGTCTCCTCCGTAACCAATCACAAGACACCTCCCCAAACGTCCCACTTTCTCCTTCTGCGGCAAGTAACCTATCGGGTTACAGTACCTGTGATCCCTATCAACGCCTTTGGGTAGAGAAAGCTCCCACATAGCGTCTATCGCCGGCACCGGCATCACCGGGTCGGCGAAGTTCTTCAGCTCCGCCTTCGTCCTAGTTTTCCCGCCGTAAAACGGTTGGTAAAACACGCACCCGTCAATTTTCAACGGCGTTAGGTCGTGGTCTAACGACTTGAGCGCGAGCTGGAACGCCACGTTGGCGCCGTTGCTGGAGCCGAAGATGTAACACCTCGAGAAGTCTGCGTAGTCTCTAAGCCACGGCTCGCCGTTAGCTGCGTCGACGGCTTGTCGTTTGACCCAGAGGAGAGCCTCCAACGCGTCGTCGTATTGGGTTGGGAGTCTGTGTTCTGGAGCGAGACGGTAGTTGACGGAGACGATGATCACCGTTAGCTCGCTTGTCATCTGAGTGCAGCCGCGGTTGTTGGCGGGGGAGTTGGCTGGGTAGAGGACCCAGCCGGAGCCGTGGAGGTGGATGAGGATCGGGAGGCGAGCGATGGTGGTGTCGTTGGAAGGGAGGTTGGTTGGTCGGAAGATGCGTACGGTCACGCCGGTTTCGTGGTTGATGGTGACGTCTTTGGAGGCGGTGAGTTTTCCTGGGGACGGGTCCGGGTCGGGTTCGACTATTGGATACTCGAAGTTGCGCGTGCAAGAGCCGTCCGGGTTGATTGAGAGGTTGAGGTGCTTGTATGGATCAAATGCGTCACGTGACATGGTTTTTAAAAATCTTAACTAATGTGATTAAGAGGAGGTTAGTTTAGGATATAAGCTTTGATTAGGAAGAAGTGTTTGGAGTTATTTAAGTTTTTTTTTTTGGTGTGCTTATGTTTATTGGAGCTTTTAAGGTGTGTGTGATTAGCATTAATGCACGGACTAATTTGAGGTCATGATGTTGCTTAGTTTTAGCGAGATTTGACCAGTTCAAGGATGTTTTTATTATTATTTTTGTCTAAATGTGGAATAATGTTGTACGCTTGCTTAATGTTTTGTCTAAATTACATTTAATTTTATAACGCATTTCATTGCGTGCATGTAAATGATTGATTTTTTTTTTTTTAGCAAGTAAATGATTGATTAAATTGTCTAAACATGTCAAGATTTCAAGCTTTTGACCATCTCATCTCGGAAAAATCTATAGCTGCATGGTGAAATTGAGAATGAAGAGTGTACATCTAACAGTGTCTCCAGTGCAATATCCAAAACAGCAATGTAGCTTTAATATTTATATAAAATGATTGATTAAATTCTAGGTGATTTAAGCGTTACGGCACCTGACCATCCGTTTCATTTTAAACACCATACAAATAGTAGATAAGATTCAAAACCATTATTACTTAGAGCACCCCCATTGAAGGTTCATGGGGGGAGTTCACACGGAAATCAAGAAAAAAAAATAATAAAATAATAAAAACCTATGAACCCCTCTCTCCTAAAGTTCACCGCGGTGAACCCCTCTCTCCTGAGGTTCAACACGTGGCGGCTCGGGATTGGTCTAAAGTTTTTTTTTGTTTTTTTTTTTAAAAAAGAAAATCGAAAAGAAAACAGAAAATTTTTAATAATAAAAAAATGATTCAATGAACCCCAAGAGGGGGTTCATTGATGTGGATGCCCTTATCAGATCATACATAGTTGGATAAACACAAAGTGAATGCAATGCAACAAGTACATAACAGATCGCAGGCATAATTGATTATTATGGTAGAGATAATCAAAAAGATTATAATAATGAGATGGAACTACTACATGTTGGAGGAGGGTGAACAACTCTTGATAAAAGCCTCAACAGTGTCATACAAAGCCTTGGCTTTCCCCTCATCAAACAACTCACACGCATGAAACCCATCTTTATCAAACCTAGTCTCCACGTGCACACCACGTGCCTTCAACATCTCCGCCACCTCTCTCTGCCGATCAACCAACGGATCACCACCGTAACCGTTAACAAGAGTCGACGGAAACCGTCCCATCTTCTCCCTCTCCTCTCCCCCACTGCTCTTAACCGGGTTACTGTACACGTGGTCACGATCCACACCGTCGGGCAAACAAAGAGACCAAAGCAAGTGAGTAGCAGCCAACGGACAGATCCTGTCGTCTCTAAGACGCGACTCCGAGTCCGACGTCTCCACGCCGCCGAAGAAAGCTTGGTTCATTATCAGCCCTTGGATCTTGACGGGAGAGAGATCTTTGTCCACGACGCGTAACGCGACGCTGTAGACGATGTTCCCACCGGAGCTCGAACCCATGACGAAGCATTTCGAGAAATCTACGGCGTCGTTTTTAAGCCAGGAGTCGCCTCCGTTGCGAGCTTGGTCACGGA